GTTCATCACCAGTCCAAGCCCAAGGGAGTTCTCCCCAGCTTCGTATAGGATTCTAGAAACAGCCTTGCTAACCTTTATTTCCAAATCCGATGCATGCATCTCGGTCCCTTACCCTTCGGGATTCCGCGAAAACCCAACGTCCTTTCCCTTTGTTAAAAACTTGATTTCATGTTTCCTTTTATTACACGAATGATGGATTTTATCATCTTTTCACATTAAAACACAAAAGGCAAATTTGATCAAATGTCCCTTCATAAAGTGTGTGGTGTATCTTAGCAAAACAGTCTCTCATCCAACAAAACTGATTTGACAATGCAAAAGAAGAAGATGATAAGAAAAAAGAAAGAAAAGCAAAGGAAAGATTAAAAAGAGTATGAACTTCGGCCAAAATTTTGGACTTTGCTATCTGAACCCTGGTGGCTTATGAACCAGTCAAGGCTCTTTACCAACTCAAAGCGTGAATTGAAAGAGAGGACCTCAAATTCCATGTGACCTGATTTGGTCGTCCTGTGGGTCCATTATCTAAGCAAAAAAGATTTCCTTCAAGAACTCTTGTGGATTTTCACGCATGAAATTGTTGATAATCATGACAATCGATGGGTCTCTATGCTGAAAGCAACTTGTGGTTTTCTTGGAAAGAAATTCTCGTATTTGTAAGTAAAGGCTGTTTTCCTTTTTTCATTAACTTTTTTTAAAAATTTCAATATCACGAGAGACAAAATTTATTCTGTAAGTTCGCTTTCTACATTCATAATATGATCATATTATGATTCACCAAATCTTTATGATATAATCAAATCAACCATTCTCTTTTATATTTTTTCAAAAATAATCAATGATTTGACATTATATAAATTTTAAATATATTAATGATAAAAAAAAAAGGTAGAATTAAAACATAAAAAATATTAAAATGCTCCGATGATAAAATAAATATGTCAATATGATCAAATGATAAAACCTTTTAAAACTTATACAATACCACCTAAGCCCTTAAAGGCTATTGCCCGTGTTTGAAGTTTGAGCTTGTTAGGCTTAACTTGTCAAGGTAAGGTAGAGACAAATGTTTTTCTGGAGTAAGTTGGTGATCGATTTAATTGCTTTTGATAACTTATAAAATCAGCTCAAGTCGTTCCATCCCAACTTCACGTTAGCTCTTTAATTATTCTTATCTGACCTTTTGTCCCTCAAATCATTTGGCTTAGACCTGTGGTTTGGTTCAATTTAAACCGAACATCAGGGATGAATTCTCCGTTTGGTTAGATTAAGCGACGGCCATTCCAACCTCTCTTTCTTCTGCCCTTTCTATCCTTCGTTTTCCCAACACTTGGTATTGAGAAAATATTCTAATTTAATTTAATATTAGCTGGAACAAATGGAGATCATAAAACGTCATCGTTTCAATTAAATCTCATAAATAGGAATCACATGGAACAATTTAATCTAAATCTATACAAAAATTTAAAGACGAAACAATAACTCTTCCCAACAAACAGAATTATGAAAACCAAAAAAAAAAAAAAAACCCACGTCTAGACATCGGCCAAAAGGCTAAAGGGAGACTAATTTAGAGGACCCCATGGCCATGGGATGGAGTTTTAATTTTAAAGGGGGACCATGTCCTAAACTCGTGTCTTCTCAACCATAAAATCTTCGATGATCATGCCGTAACTAAATACTAATTAAAGCATTAATTGGATTCTGATTTGATATCAAGTGGGGTCATCCAATTAAAGCCATTCCTATAAGCTTTTTCCCAACGTTAATCCATGCAATTATAGCATTTAATATTTTGATTAATAACTTTAAAAAACACCTCGTCAAAGACCTCTCTTTTTTCGTTTCTTATTTTCTTAATTTCCCTTTAATAACTTTTGGATTTTGCTAACAGTAACGAGTGTTTTAAGGACGCCTACAATATGTGATTATCAATAATTAATTACCCGTTTACCTTACGTAATAACCTTAAATATGTGATTTAGGACACCGGTGAACAAAATCTGATTAATTTAATTGGTGTTTGAGGGAAAATCTCAACATTCCACATGCATGATTTTTTTGAAAAGGCTGTGTTGTTACCTTGCAAAGGGGCAGCAATAATATCATGTTTCTTTGCAATTTTTGTCAAACTTTCTTTTTTCTTGGACGAATGAAGGGGTTAGTTGATCCAAAAAGAAACAACAAAGAGCAGACCAAATTGATATAAAAGATCTGATATCAAAGGACGAGAACAGATAAAAAGATATTTCATTAAGACTTGAAAGCTCGATAAATTAACTTTTGAGGTAAAACATACTTTAAAGTTCAAATCTTTAGAATATCATCACTACTGAAAGATGCAGGATATCACCATTTGCTTTAAATAAAGATGTCCAATCTTCTGGCTTGCTTTGCTGAAAATCTCTTGAGTACCCTTTAAACAAAAACCAAAAAAAAAATATTGAATTAAAAACCTCCATTGAAGAGGTGGCTTTGATTGGAGCATTATCTTAACCAGTAATTTGTTCGTTTCAATAGTAATTAAACATTTTCTTTTTCTACTTTTTTTTAGAGTAAAGGTTTTATAGATCCGAATTCTAGAGAATTGTCACGAAACCTTGACATGATTAAAAAAATTTTTATGTTCAAATTCAAAAGATAAAAATGAGTTCAAAAAGTAATTAATTTGAAAATTACAATTCTGTATAGAAGTTAAAAACTTAATGTAAGACTGTCAATTCAAGTTTTTCTTTTTAAAAAAAATATAAATTCAAGTTTAGATAATATAATGGAACTAATTATTTGTGTCATACATTGCCGCTTCTAAAAAAAAATTGTGCCTTAGATTGCCACCAGTAATTACTTTTTCTTTTATGAGATATATATTTATATATATATTTGTACACTTTAGAAAGAATGACAGTTAATGAATAATTAGTTATAAACCTTTATTTCATTTAAAATGAAAATACATTAATTGAATGCAATAGAAAAATAATGATTTATTTAAATTTTTTAAAATAATTTAAGAGTTTATTAAAATATTTTATAGGTATGATATGAATGTAAAGTGATTATCCCAATTTATATATTTATGAATTAAAAGAAAAATTATCTTAAGTTCAAATATTTTTGCTGATATTTATATATTAAAAAAATAAAAAGATCATGATATTACATGGAAAGTAGTAAGAAAGTTTGTCAACCGAAAAGTTGTTATTTGAGATTACATGAAAGTTTTTTAATAAGTAAATAATTATCAAGACAATTAAAAAGTTTTTTTGATATATTTATTGTAATCAATCTTTGACTATGAGAATCCTCAATCAAGTCCTTTTATTTGACCAATAAAGTTAGTCATGACCATGTTTTGGACCAATTTTTTATTTTTTTTAAAAAAAAAGGGAAAATGAAAGATATCTGTTTGGTCCAACGTATTGGAAATGTCTTCCCACACTTTGCAAAAGCAACAGTGTCTGTGAATGTGACACAAATAGGCTAGATATAGGGAAATTTACATCTGATTCCTGGTGGATTTGCTTAAGTAATTAAGGTAATTATTTATCAGTTAAGAAGAATCCTAATTTTTAGTGAAATGGGACCCACGTTTGCTTGGCCCAATTTAAAGTAACTGAAAACAGAAATGCTAGCTTCTGATTGATTGGCAGGTAATACGTGCATAATTTAATTTAATTTAATTTAATTTAATTAATCTGATGGAAAAAAGGAGAGATGCCCAACAAACAGGATTTGGGATTTGCTTTTGGATAAAAGGAAAAGATTGTACAAAGATTTATTATATGATTTTATTTTATTTTATTTTTTTGTTTGAATTGCATGATCTTTGTACAAGAGCTTGTCTCCACGTTTTCTTCTCAACTTCAAATCTCAAATTTGCGCAGCACACTTTGTTTATGATTGTAACCAACCGGTGTAGCGTAGGATCATTTCTTTCCTTTTCAATAGAAAAAGACCTTACCAAAGCGTGGGCGAGCATGTTTCTTTTTTTTTTT